GTCGTAGTCGTAGTAGTCGTCGTAGTCGTAGACGTAGTCGTAGTGGTAGCAGTAGCAGTAGTCGTCATGTGCGCAGCAGTTGCACAAGTGCGGGCGATCCTTTTTCGAGGCGGAGGTTTCGCTGGACACCTCGCTGAGCTGCACGATCATACCTCGTCACCGTCCGTTTTGTTCGTGAGTTGGATGCAAGAGGCAGCTCCTGTTCAGGACGGGGCTCTCGCCCGAGTGGCCGGCCCAGCGGGCGCTGGTCCTTTCTTTAGGGGGCGCCTCTTTCTGTGGAGCGGAGGGCCTGCAGGGACTTCTGAGGATCGGGCGTGGGACGGGAGGGCGTACTGCAGCATCGCTGGCGCATCTCAGCTCCTATTCGCGGGCCGCGGCAGGGCTGCGGAATTAGTCGCGCTTCGCGGTCTCGGCAGTTCCCGAGCGAGGCGCGAGCCCCTCACATCCTGCTCCGGGGAGCGGCGGCGCGACGGCGCGACGGTCGTCGCGCCTCGCGCCTCGCGGAGCGCAAAGCGCGAAAGCGGTTGCCCCAGCATTCTGGTCCTCGAAGTCCCCCTCATCATTTGGCATAGCTCAGACGTGTGCATTTTTCCTCGGCAAGAACCATCGAGGACCATCCTGGACCATCGAGAAACAAAAAAAAAAAAAAAAACGCGCACGATTCCGAAACATGCACGGGAAATGGACGTCCGAGCGACGGCAAGATCCTCCGCGTCCTCCTGGACGCTCCTCCTCGTCCTCCTCGGCCCCCCCCGCGCGAACTGCACTCCGCGCGCGGCGCGCGCGAGCAGGTGCGCTGGAGGCCTGGGGTGCCGCGCGGGCGGCGCGGCGCGAGCGGTCGGAGGGGAGGCAGCTGCGCCGGGTGCGCTTCCAGGCGAGCTCGGCCCCGTGGAGGAGGGAGGAGGAGGAGGAGGAGGAGGAGGAGTAGGAGGAGGAGGAGGAGGAGGAGGACGAGGAGGAGGAGGAGGAGGAGGACGAGGAGGAGGAGGAGGAGGAGGAGGAGGAGGAGGAGGATTCTTTTGGCGACTGCAAAGGGTATGGTTGCGCCGGAGTGTGGTTTGCGATCGGCCCCGTGGGGGCCTGGGGAGCACGACGCCGTCCCCGTCGGGCCTCCTCGGGGCGCGGCGGAGAGCCGAGTGGAGGTCCTTGCCCGCCCACCCGGTGGCCCCCCGGGCTGCCGGTTTTGCAAACCACACCCTTTGCAGACCACACCCTTCGACCTGGGCGCCGCAGAAACATCGCGGCGCCACTCTTCTTATGTTTTCAGCATCTGGGGGCCGTCTGCCGTCCTGCGGGACGCCAAGCAACGAACCAGGACGAACAAATATGCCTGGGACATATTCGAAATCCCCAGCGGTGTACTTCACGAGAAAGTCTCGACGTCGAAGGAGAGGGGGCGGATTGATCTGTGAGCGGTAGAACCTTTGGGGCCCGCGGATGAGAGCACAAAAGTATCCTGGTGAATGACCCAACCATTTGCAGGCCCGAGTATCGCAAGGCAGGTGGGACGAGGGAGGGGTGCATCCCTTTGGGGCAACGGAACGCTCGAGGGGTGTGTGCCGACGTGGCCGAGGAGCCACATGTGGACGCATTCACCCGGGCCTTAGGCCTTACGTGAAGCTCTCGCGGCAGAAGAACCCGCAGAACGAGCCCATCGGTGACAGAGGGGGTCAATCTTCGAGCCCTTCTGTGACAGGGGGGAGGGGGGGCAAGCACACACACTGTCATGTATCCCGGCTTGTGGATTCTGGGGCCACAAAGCGCGTGAGCGGTGTGCCGAAATGGGCAACGAAACGTCCGATTGGTGCGCCGAAATTGGCGCGGAACCGACACACCCTTGGGGGTCGTAGGTGGAGATCCCTACGGGGCCACGGAGCGTGTGACTGGTGTGCCGACATGGGCGGGGAGCCGAGTGTGGACGCACCCATTGGGGCTGTAGGTGGAGATCCCTACGGGGCCACGGAGCGTGTGAGTGATGTGCCGAAATGGGCGGGGAGCCGCATTTGGACGGGGCTCGGGTGCACTTCCCCCCATCCCCGAGATGCGCCCGCAAGGCTCCTGAGAGCGCCCAGATGGAAAATCACCCGTTTCGGGTTCCAATGTTCACCCCGGAGCCGTTCCAGGGTGATTCTGGAACCTGAAACGGGTCGATGCCCCTCCAAAATGTACGGCCCAAAAGAATGGCCCCCCCCTCTTCCCGAAGAAGCGACGCCCGAGGGGGGGGGGGCGACGAGGGGCGAGGACGCGGCCCGAGGTCTTTCCAGCACGCCCCCCGGGGGTGGGCACCTGCACGCACGGACGGCCTCGGGCCGCCCCTGCCCCCGGGTGAGGCGGGCGGGTCTCCCGGGAGATCCCCCCCCCGCGGCCTCCAGGAACCTCCAGAGAGCTCAGATCCCCAGCTCTCTCTCTTTTCTCGCTCTCGCGCTCGCTCTCTCTCTCTCTCTCTCGCGCGCTCTCTCCCTCTCTTTCTCTGTCTCTTTCTCGTTCTCTCTCTCTCTCTCTTTCTCGCTCTCGTTTTCTCTCGCGCTCTCTCTCTCTCTTTCTCTCTCTCTCTCTCTCCATCTTTCTCTCTCTCTCTCTTTCTCTCTCTCCATGTCTCTCGCTTTCCCCCTCCCCAGGGCAGGAGGAGAGGCCGACTGCGACGACAACGGAGGGGACGACGTGGGCGAGGATGAGAAGTTGGCGCAGGATGCGCTCGAGGAAGAGGAGGAAGGGGCAAGGTAATAAGGAGGATGCTTCCTCCCCGTCTTGGAGGTGGAGGGCGATGACGACGACGGTGACGACGGCGACGACGACGAGAGCTCTGTTCTGTGCTATTTCCTCTTAGGGCGCAAGAGAGAGAGAGAGAGAGAGGGAGACTGAGAGAGAAAGAAAGCCAAATAGAGAGAGAGAGAGAGAAAGAGAGAGAAAGAGGAAGAGAGAAAACGGTGGCGACGTCGACGTGCGTACCCTCGTCCATCTCCCCACCTCTTCCATCCCGCCCTCCTCGTCATCTTCCCTGTCCTGTACCGTAGCCGTTCTGGCTCCAGCATAGCAGTTTCTCAAGAAGCGCGCTCCAGTACCGAAATCCCTCGGACTACTTTCGAGTGCAGGCAGCGATGGCGGTGGCACACCGCCAGGCCGCGGCCGCCCTCCTCGTTTCCATATGCCTCGCGGCCTCGCCGACCGGCGCCTCCTGCCTGGGCAGGCGGGAACAGGAGCCCGAGCAGCGAGCGGCCGCGGGGCTGGTCACCGTCCCGCTGAGCAAGCACTACGTGCCCGTCACGCGGGACAACCGCACGGTGATGTACAAGACTGCTTACTTCGGGACCATCCGCGTCGGCCTGCCCAGGCCACAGGAGTTCACCGTGGTGTTCGATACTGGTTCGGGTCATCTGTTTGTGCCCTCGTCCAAGTGCCAGTCCCAGTCCTGTGTGGGCCACGCGCGCTACGAGCGCAGCTTGTCTGGCTCCGCAGTAGATTTGGATCACGATGGTGCAGAGGTGGACACCAGTGCTGAGGAGCGCGACCAAGTGGCGATCGCCTACGGCACTGGCGAAATTGTCGGCGAGTTCGCGCGGGAAGTGGTCTGCATTGGCAGCCGCAGTAGTGAGAACGTCTCTCCAGTCTCGGCTGGTGCGCATTGCACCTCTGCTCGTGTTATCTTGGCAACAGAGATGACACCAGAGCCATTCCAGGCTTTTCACTTCGACGGCGTCCTCGGTCTCGGGCTCGCTGGCCTCGCACTGGAGCCCGAGTTCAGTTTCTTCGGCCAGATGACTGCGAACGGGATGCAACCTCGTTTCGGGGTTTTCCTGTCGAAGAGCGATTCGGTCCCCAGCGAGATCTCCTTCGGCGGGCACGACGCCTCCCGGATGAGCTCCAAGTTGAGATGGGCTCCCGTAAGCCAACCAGAGCTGGGGTATTGGCAGTTGAAGGTGGGCCGCATTTGGGTCGGCGACCAGCCCATCGGCCTGTGCGAGGACGGTGGCTGCGTCGCGATTGCGGACACCGGCACGTCCTTGCTGGGCGCTCCTCGGCAGATAACTGAGCACTTGCACTGGCTGTTGGCCCGCAAGGTCGAGGACATCGACAGTAGACCGGGCGGGCAGGTCGACTGCCGGACGTTCCCTGGGCCGGACATCGTTTTCGAGCTCGGCGAGGTGAACGTCACAGTTGGCGCCGAGGAGTACTCGCGCCCTGCTGGCCTCCGTGTCATCACGAAGGCGACGAACGAGACGCAGTTCATCTGCCGAGCCTCGCTGCTGCCCGTGGACGAGCTGCCCTCCCTCGGCCCGAAGGTGTGGATCCTGGGCGAGCCCGTCCTGAGCAAGTACTACACCGCCTACGACTGGGCGCAGCATAGGGTCGGCTTCGCTCTGGCGCGGCATCCGCCCCAGGACCCGGAGTCAGAGAAGCAGCCGGCTGCGCCGACGCATGCGGTAATCGGAGCGCCTCCGCGGGAGCTACCGGAGCCCACCGTGGTGTACATTTGAGCCATCCGGCAACGAACCGCCAGCTAGGGCGTGGTCACCGTCGCTAGCGCATCGCCTCTGAACTCAAGCATTGCGACCAAAAGCTGCGATATTCATCCTCCCTGTCACGTGGTCCACCCCCATGATGTATGGGATGTCGCAGCAGAATCAGACAAAGCATGGTACATGATCCAGGGTGGCCCGCCCCCCCCTCCCCCTCCCCAAGCCGATTGGATCGAGCCCCCCCCGCTGGATGGGTACGCCCATGAGCCTCGCGAAGGCCTCGCGAATAGTTCTACATCTCTCTCTCTCTCGTTATGTTATTAGTGTTCCTCTCTCCCTCTCTCTCTCTTTCTCTCTCTTTGTTTGATGTATTCGTCCTCTATACATATATATACATAGCTCTAGTTATCATTCGATCTCTCTCTCTCTATTCCTCTATACTCTTATCTCTCTGCATGTATATATATATATATACACACACGCTGTTGCATACAAATGTGTGCATTTTCGTTCCTCCTCCATATGCATAGGTTGCACGTAAAGCGTGCACAAGTCTGTATGCATATACATAGTGCGTCGAGATGCGCACCCCTGCCTCTTTGTATGGTATCACGGTGTGTCCATCCATCTCTACACGGTGGTTCCTCTCGTCCTCGTCCGCGAGTCTTGGCCCCGATAAAAAAGCGGTGGCCCGCAGCGCGCTGCACACAACGCGGAGCTCGTGGGCAAGGCCCGCTCCCTCGGCCCCCCGCCGTGATGTGATCGGGGGGGCGGCGAACTCCACCCCCCCGCCCCCGATCACGCTCGTTACAGTGGGGACTGCATCACGAAAAAAAAGACAGGCTCCTGGAGAGTCGGGGGAAGGAGCGAGGCGTGTCATGAAGGCGCGGGGTCGGATCGGACGACAGGGGGGACAGGCGGGGATGGGGACCGGGGGCGCCATGAAACCTGCTGCCGGCACCCGGTTTCGGCCCCGCTGTCGGGCGCGTTCCTCTTTGCATTTTGACGCCTCTGGCGCCAGGATGCGCCGGGAGAGTCGCCTGCGTGAGCTGAGTCGGTGCGCTAGGAGCCGGCACGGTGGAGGAGCAAGGATAAGGCTTAGGTCCTCCTCCTCCTCCTCCTTCTCCTCCTCCCCCTGCCCACCCTCCTCTTCATCCTCTTCCTCCTCCTCCTCCTCCTCCTCCTCCCTTTCCTCCTCCTCCTCCTCCTCCTCCTCCCTCCGCCTCCTCTCCTCCTCCTCCTCCTCCTCCTCCTCCTCCTCCTCCCCTTCCTCTCTCCCTCCTCCTCCTCTCTCCTCCTCCTCCTCCTCCTCCTCCTCCTCCTCCTCCTCCTCCCCTCCTCCCCTCCTCACCTCCTCCTCCTCCTCCTCCTCCTCCTCCATCATCTCCTCCTCCTGACAATTACTCAATATGAATACTACTCTCCCTCTTCCCCCGATGGCGGCCTGAAAGTAGCCCCCCGCCCCCCGCGTACTGTTTTTTACACAGGATTCCAGGGAGTTGGGTTTTCGCCTGCTTTTTTTTTGTTTTTAAAATGTTGCTCTCGTTGAGGCGCCAGCCTCATTTCTGCTCCCGAATCGTTCCGAATCGTGCTCCCGCTGCAGCGTGGGCCTCATTTTCGGATCGGTGTTTGGCCTCCGTCGTTCAGGATGGCGTTCTCGCCCCAGCGCGGGCCTCTTTCTCGCGCGCCCATCCGCCCGCCACCACCGCGCCGCACCACCACCACCACCACCACCACCACCACCACCACCACCACCACCACCACCACCACCACCACCACCACCACCACCCACGCACACACGCACGCACGCACGCACGCGCACCACCACCGACTACGCACGCGCGCGCGGAGCCACAGGTCCGCTACGACACGCGTCCGCGGATAGAGAAAATCAGCGCCATGGTAAGGGATGGGAGGGAGGGGTAGGACGTCAGATATGACGCGAGCGCACCTAGCTTGTTCCTCCTCCCCCTCCCCCTCCCCCTCCCCCATCCCCCTCCTCCTCCTCCTCCTCTGCCGCCTCGCCAAGGGAACGGGGATGAGCAGGAGCGAGCGCGGCGCAGAGCCAGGCTCCGCGTCGCGAGGGCAAAGGGGTGAGAGGCCAGGGCGCGAGGAGGCGCAGCAGAGGGGCGAGGAGAGTCGCGGGGAGGAGAGCAGCGCGAGAGCGCCGAGGAGGCGCGGGAAGCATCGATAGGGCGGGGCGGAGGAGGGAGGAGCGACGTCGAGGCGCGGGGGGGATCGAGACGCCGGCGGCGGGGGGCTGGCAGCACGTGAGCCTCCCTTTTTGCTTCTCTCTCGCGCTCCTGGCTCCTGTCCAGCAGTGGCGAAGCGTCCTGGCGTGCCTATGACCCTACCAAAGAATGTTCCAAGAACCTTTTGTGGTTTCCACGAGATGTTCTTAGAACATTTCTGGTTGAGATTGTTTTGTTTTATCACATCGGGTTTATGCCGGGATGGTCGGTCCCTGCTCGATCCTGGGGGGGCGGCTCGGCTGTGGAGCGGGGGGCACGTCTCGCGCCCGGCTTGCCTCTTGTCGGGGCCTACGTTGTGACCGTCCCTGGGACTCGGAACGACGGAGGGTGCCGTAGACGCGCGAAAGTCGATTATACGTAAGAGTGACATTTCACCAGAGTGAAATGGGATCGCCCGATCGCCGAACGCGAAGCGGTATCTGCGGCTTTCTGCGCCCAGGTTTGGCCAGCCCGCGGCCTGTTAAGCCGCGCACCAAAGGTAACTCTTGCCCAGGGTCATTATTGCGTGTAGCCGATAGCGGCGCGGCGATGCAGGTAACGGTGATGTCGTTGTCGGCATTGTAGGTGGGATTGGTCCGTGGCCAAACCACCTGTATGAAAGCGTGGTTCGTGGTTTCCTGCAGCTCACTGTGGCCTTGCCGCTCGATGCGCTCGCGCATGTGGAATTTAGGGAAGCGTGGCTCGCGATGTCCTAAACATTGTATCTGCGCGAGTTCGGTGCCGCAAGAACCAGATTCCCAGCTTCGCCGTCAACCACCATCGCCCTTAGCGTGGCCGTGGAGTTTGGTGCCACAAGCTTCGAGCGCCCCCGTGGCGGAGGAATGGCAGGCCAACGTTACAGGCACACGTCGCAGCCAACAGTTTGCGGCGGGACCGTACCTCAGGGGGGGCCTTCCGCAGGGTCCTCGCTGAGTCTCCGGGGGCCCGCGAGCAGGAGGAGGTGGGGAAGGAGGAGGAGCAGGCGGAGAAGGAGGAGGAGGAGGAGGAGAGGAGGAGGAGGAGGAGGAGGAGTGAGGAGGAAGGAGGGAGGAGGAGGAGGAGGAGGAGGAGGAGGAGGAGGAGGAGGGGCCCGCTTTCGGCGCCCCATTCCCGTGGTCAGGACCATCGCACTTAGCGTGGCCGTGGAGTTTGGTGCCATATGCTTCGAGCGCCCACGCGGTGGAGGAATGGCAGGCCAACGTTACGGGCACACGTCGCAGCCAAGACTCTGCGGCGGGACCGTGCCTCAGGGGGGGGGGGGGGCTTCCGCAGGGTCCTCGCTGAGTCTCCGGGGGCCCGCGAGCAGGAAGAGGTGGGGAAGGAGGAGGAGGAGGGGGAGGAGGAAGAGGAGGAAGGAGGAGGAGGAAGAGGAGGAGGAGACTCCGGAGGAGAAAGAGGAGGAGGAGGAGCAGGAGTAGGAGTTGGAGAAGCAGCAGGAGCAGGAGGAGGAGGAGGAGGACCAGTGTAAACCCAAGAGGCATCAACGATGTTGGAAGAAGCCTTCCTCCAAGCTCCGTCTTCATTGGACCCTACAGCTGTTCATTCTTACTGAGAGAACTGCCTCGTTGGAAGACAACTAACTGTTTGAAGACCCTGAAGCATGCCAAAGCAGTGTTCTTTGGATTCCAACGCCACGCATCAACCTGACAGTTGCGTCTTGACGATCCTGAATCATGCCAAATGCCATTCCTGGGACTTGAACACCGCGAACCCAGATAACTTATGCACCTTCGTAAGCCTGAATCTGTTCAAAGCACCATTCTAGTACGCTGACCATGAGAATCCGTGAAACTCCTGCGATGTTGAAAACGAATGCGCGCGGCGCTAAGGCGAGAGCCACATGTTGAGAAGGAGCCGCCATCAGTCCGTGAAACTCCTGCAATGTTTTAAGACGACTGTGCGCGGCGTTCAGGCTAGAGCCACATGTTTAAAACCATTCGCCCTCAATCCGTGAAGCCCTTGCAACTGTTTAAGACCAATGTACGCGGCGCTACAGGGGAGAGCTACATGTTGAAAACCACTCGTCCTCAATCCGTGAAGCCCTTGCAATTTTTGTAAGACGAGTGTGCGCGGCGCTAAGGCGAGAGCCACATCTTGAAAACCACTCGCCCTCAATCCGTGAAGCTCCTGTCAGACTTGTCAATAGTTTAAAAAGAATGCGCGCGGCGCTAAGGCGAGAGCCACATTTTGATGAGAACGGCCCGCCCTCCATCTGTGAAGCTGTTGTCAGCTTTTGAGCTTGGAGTGGAGGAGGAGGAGAAGGAGGAGGAGGAGGAGCAGGAGGAGGAGTAGGAGGAGGGGGGAGGAGGAGGACTCTGGCCCCCCGCCCGCCCGCCCCCGCCCCGCCCGCCCGCCCCCGCCGAGCACCCCAGCGAACTGCGCCCCTCCTGCGGGCCACGGCCCCCGCGCGCCTCGACCGCCTGCCAGCCCGCTCCACCCCCCCCGGCCCCGCCCAGGGCCCGCTTTCGGCGCCTCCATCCCCGTGGCCAGAGGCCGAGTGCCGGGCGACAGCGCGGCCAGGATCCTCCCGGAGCGGTCGGTCTTCGAAGGTTGATAGACCTCCCACCCTAACACGTCGATGAAGGAATCGGCCGTCTTCGGGTCGCGAGAGGGCGTCGTCGGCCAGGAGGCCCAGCCTCCGTGGGCCCTGGAAACGGCAGGGCCGTTTCTGCTACCAGTTCCGTTCTGCCGTTTTCTGTGGCTGGCTCCGACGCCGTTTTTTTTACCGGGGCCGTCGCCGTTTTTGTTACCGCTTCCGGCTCTGGCTCCAATCTTGGAGCCGTTCTCTTGCCGTTTCTCGTAGCCGCTTGTTTTGCCATTCTCAAGACGATTGCTCGGAAACGGTGAAAAAAACGGCCCCGCCGTTTCCGGGGCCCACTACCCCCTCGAGTCTCGAGGAAATCGAGACGGAGTTTTTTCCCAAATTTTCGGGCTTCAGGT